AGCATGTTGAAGAGAGTAGGCTAGATTGAGAGAATTGGACTCTATCCCTGTGACCACAGGTTGTATTCTCACCTTTCTGACCTAGAAGGAGACAAAGCAGGTGGCATTCTCTGAAGTGTGGGAAGGTGACGCCTATCTGTAGTCATCAGCCTGACTTGCAGGAGCCAGATTCCAGAGGCTCTGCCAAGTGTGGACTTCTAGCCGTCTGAGGAAGATGGAGCCTGAAGACTACTGCAAACAGTCCAGCCAGGAACCTGGCATCTAGTCTCCATCTTGGGAAGGACCTCAGGGAACTGTCAGGACAAGGTGTCCACTGTGAGAGCCTTGCCAGGCCACAGCCCCTCTTCCAGTTGCTGGGCATGTGGAGCCTGAGGGGCTCCAAATCAGGCCTCCCAGGTCCTTACTCCACACTGGGACTCCCTTCCTCCTGTCACCCACAGAACTCAGGTTTTCCCATGAGGAAGATGACATTACCAGCCAGACTGAGCCAACCCCAAGCCATTCTCTTTCCCTAGTGCCACCAGCCCCTCACCATCCCTGAAACTGGCCTCCATTCTGTAGAAGATGATCCTGAGTCTACAATGAGGATGTCGAGCTGAGGACGTCCCACTCCCCTGTCCTTCGTGGGAAGCCCAGTTCCCATCACTGTCAACGCCAGTGCTGCCTCATGAACCATGGATGAAGCCATGGCATACCAACCTCATGATGGAGCAAGGCCCCATGGGATCTGACCTTCAAATGGTTAACCGGGAAGCCTGTGAGCTGGGTCCCCCCAGTTCCCAGCAGTCCCCAGCCACAGTATTGTGGTTTCACGGTCCATGGCTCAGCACAGACACACTGTGAAGAAGCTTGGAGTTTCATGTTTGTCTTAAAAGTTTTCACTTGGCACCTCGCCACTCCCCGGGGACCTGGGGAACCTGCAGGGGGCTCAGTCAACGTGCTCACTGCTGGGAGGTGCTCACTGTGGGGGCAGAGCCTGGAGGCCCCTGTGTGACAGCAGAGGGAAACCAGGCCTCACCAGCTCTTGCTACCCCTGCATGGATGACTCTGACTGACACATGTTCTAAGAATAGAAAACCTGCCCTCTGGGGTCAGCCAGGCTCAAGGTCCTGCAGACTTCAAGATGACCTGCCTTGACCATAGTATGGCTAAGGCCAGAATCCCTAAGCCCTGTCCCTAAAAGGAGCTATGATGACCAGCCAAGTGGGGAGATCTATAAAGGCACCTGTCCCTGACCCCATTCCACAGCCCCCTTCCCTCTGCTAAAGCCATCCATTCCCTACTGCAAACCACACACCTCGTCCCTATGTGGGCTTGTTTCCCTGGCCCCCAGCGTTGACTTTTGACTTCAAACTCCCTTCTTTGATATACCTAGATGCAACGACTGTACTTTCTTATCATCCCTCCAAGTGGCATGGTCAGAGCCATGACCCTGGGCAGGCATGGTCAGTACCCTCTGTGTTTAAGGGAAGGTAAACAGGGGAAGAACTGGGGAAGCCAGGTTTCCGCCCCAGCAGTCACAGCCCTAATACCAGCTGATGGGGGAACTCCCTGACTCCCAGGAGCCCACATGGGTGCTAGGCTGAGGCACAGAATGAAGACAGCCAAAGCTGAGCAATAGCCTCTGATGTAGGAAGGAAACCGGTGATTAGTTGCTGACCCCCAAGCTGATGACTTGAGAGTTACTCAAGCTCTCTGAGCCTCATTTACCAGTAACAAAATAAAGATACCTAACTGGAAAGCTGTTTGTGACCATCTTTACTCTGGTATACCAAATAAGGAAGACTGGCCCGGAGTAGGTGTTCAGCAAAGAGCAATGGGAACTAAATTAGGGAGCTGTGTTGTCATGGTCCTTCTCATTCTGTTAAACAAGGACAGGAAGTCAGAGAGGTTTAGCAACTTGCTCAGAGTCACACGGGATATGTACACCATTGGCTTTCTGGATCACTAGCTCCTACATGAATCCTCAAATGTCAGCCTGCCTGAGCAAAATCCTCCCAAGACCTAGTGTCTGAGAGCCGCTCTCTCAGAGGGCAAGCAATAAGAGTCCAGGACAAGATGTGCCCCTGTCTAGATGAAGGTGTTTCCTTAAAATCACCAAAGCTGGCATCTGTTCTGCCACGTGAAGACCATGTTGGAAACACCTAGTTTCCAGGGATGCAGGCAGTCTGGGAGGAAATGGGTGGAAAGCTGCCCTCCACATGCCTTAGAATAAAGCACACACGCCCCACGGCTGCCTTGTAAATCAGACCCTGCTTAGTTTGGCCTCTCTCCTCTGCGGGCTCAAGCTCTGCCTCCTGGACAAGGCCATTTACACCTCTGGATCAGTTACCCTCCCTGTTCTCCCTCCTTAGCCTCACATCTGCCCACAAGAGAACAGTTTTATTTCCCAGCCTCCCAGGGCCCACCAGGAAAGGGGGTCAGGCTTCCCACTGGGTTCTTACCCAAGGCTGCTTTATGCCCTCTCCTAGCCAGTCCAACTGTAGGCTTACCATGTGTCTTGCTCTAGAGAAACAAGTGGCGGTCAGAATAATCAAGCCACCTTCCCCAAGCCACACGGTATGACAGAGATGCAGGAGGTGGGCGCTGAAGAGTTCCGGCTTGGTCCTCAGGCCCAAGAGACCTCTGTAGCGGTGGGCGTGCTTGGCTGCCCCTATATCTCCTATCTCTTGGGGAGCCCCATCCGGGTACTGAATAAGATAAAACAGAACCCCATGTGCTTCCTAACCACAACCGCAGCCTCTGGGGACACATGGGAAGCAGGCTGCTCATCCTGTAGCTATGTCAACAGCCCTGCCCTGCCCCCACCTTAAGCCAAGCTCTAGGGCAACTCCAGTAGAGTAAGCCAGCATCAGGAGAGCAGGTAGGGAGAGCACCAGCCTGCCTGAGTCTCTTTGGCCATGTCCTGCTCACGCTGCAGAGTAGCCACGAAGCCCGTTTCTCAACACATGACCCTGTTAAAGGTGTCCGCCGGTCTCCCTGGTATAGGCCCCAGCCTCCATCCCTTCCTGGCACCACATCCAAAAAGCAGCCCCTGTCATTCCTCCTTTGCCGAGAGGAAAACTGAAGTTCAGTCTGACTGACAGTACAGAGAAGTGCTGAGGGATACGCCAGGACTCTCGGAGCTCCTGAGGTGGTTGGTGCGGGGTGGGGGCAGGAAGTTCGCCTTCTCTGCCTGACCTTGTTGCAGCCCTCACCTGCAACCCAAACTGACTCAACTCCTCAGAGCAGCAGCGGCTGCCTCCTTCACGAAACTTTCCTGGACCTCAGGCTGGGTGGACACTGGCTGCCAGGGACTGTCCTCTCTGAATTGTCCCCACTGCTCAGGGCCATCCTGCAGTGGAGTCGATGGGAGGAACTGGCCCAGCTGCACGCTTGTTCACCTCAAGACTTGGTGCCACTCACTTTAATGCTGTTAGGATGGGGCGGGTGACCCTACTGCCAATGCTGTGACCGCCAGGAAGAACATTGTGACTGAGGAACCAGGTCTGGAGGACAGTAGAAGCACTCTCCTTCCAGTCCACATCCAGCAGGGCATGGTGACAGTGACTGAGAAGGGCCAAGTATCACTTGGGGTAAGTCATGAGACTCGATATGCAATTTAACCTTCCCAAGCCTCAGGTCTCTCAGCTGTACATGGGGACCTGACTACTCTTAGCCAATTGGATTTTTCATATATCCAATTGGCTAAGAGGCATGCCCCCCTCCCAACTCCTAGCCTCAGTTTCTCCACTAGTTAGCTGGGAACTTAGACTTGGAGATGACTTGAAGACAGGATAGTTGTGGGGGGCAGGGGGAGGGGAAACCCCCACAGGCTGTTCCAGGGCCAAAGAAGGGTCACTTCCTTCCGTGCCAACGGTTGTCAATCACCTCTGGGTGGCCCCCTCCAGGGTGCAGAGGCGCCAGGATTTCCTCCGCGGACCTGTGTCTCTCTGCACCCCTGCCTCGAGGGCCCACGGCTGCACGTGCGGCTGCTCCAGCCTAGCTTCCTTCTCCCTCCCGAAGTTTTGGCGATTCCAGCGCAGAGGTGATGGATGCTCGGTTCCCAGAGGTCGCACAGCTGGAAGGGCGGCGATAGGACCCCGCAGCTCAGAGTCCCCTAGGGGGCGTGGCCGGGAGGGTGCTATTTAAAGGTCGGGCGCCGCCCCCTCGCGGCCGGCAGGAGCGGCGCTGCAGCAGCCGGGCCTCGGCGGGCTGGACCCCGCGGGCTGCATGAACGATGTGCCGAGGAGCCGGGCTGCGACGGCGCTGAGCCAGGTAGGGGCAGCGGAGGGCAGACAGCAGCAGTGCCTGGGGAGCTGGGACTGGATCCTCCCTGGGTCCCCAGGTCTTAGTCGATCTCCCCGGGAAGGGCTCAAATGGGTGTCCCCATTTGACAGCTGGGAAAACTAAGGCCGGAAGTCCTGGACGTCCCTAGAAGCACACAGCCAAGCAAGCAGACCAGGGTTTGAATTCAAGTCTCCCCAAAGCGGATGGACTTTCAACACCACCACTGTTTTCTTTGGAGGGAATACCCCAGGGCTCTTTGGAGAGACTTGAAGCCCACCTTCTTTATGGGAGATAGATGGGAGGGATCCCCACTACACCTCCATCCTGACATTCTGCATCAAAACCACATTCCTTTGGGTTAAGGTCTGATTCCCCCGAGATGTGGGATGTCTCCAGAACGGGCTGCTCTAGTGATTCACTGCCCTGTGAACCTGGAAGCTGCTCTCCCAGGCCCCCTTTGCCAGTACGTCAGAGCAGACTGAGAACACTACCGCCCAGTGTGTTCCTGGGCAACTTGGAAGGAAGTCTTGGCAGTTGCTTTGGAGAACAGGGGCTGGATTCTGATCCTGACTCTTCTATTTACTGTACAAGTGGCTTTGGGTAAGTCATTTCTCATGTTCTGGGACCAGGGGACCAGCAGGGTCTGCACTGCCAGAGACCACACAGCACTAAGGGGCTGTAGATCTGCATGAGTCCCAGTGCCAGCACATCTAGGGGCTGGGGATCAGGCACTTCACCGTCCTGGACCCCAGTTTTCTGGTCTGTGAATGGGAATTACAGTAACTACCTCACTTGATAGTTGTGAGGATTAAAAGACCTGAGATCAGTCAAGTGCTTAGAAAAATGTGTAACCTCCTTGCATAGTTGGGGCTGTCTTATTTTGATTATAGAATTGCCCCTCCCTTATCTCTGTCTGCCTGTCCCTCTCTCTCTGTCACACACAGAGACACACACAAGCATATACACAGCTATTCTTTTGACACTTTTCCTTGTCAGAATCCAGCTACTTGCCTGCAGACCCAGGACCTGTCCTAGCACAACTCACCAGGGATGCTCAGCACTATTGATCCCAGTACCAACTGGAAAGGACACTATAGTGTCCCAGTACTTTCCTGGCCATGCCCCACCCGATCATCCCCATGGTTACGGGTGGCCAGTGGTGGAGTGGGAACTGGTGTGTGCCACAGATGACAGATGAGTCACCCAGGTGGGAGAGATAAAAGAACTTGCACTGGGGACCCAGACTAGCTAGTGGTGGGGCTTGACTGTGAGCCTGGTCCTCTCCGTGAGAGACTAAAGTCCTCAGATGCTGGTGAGAAGGCTCATCATGGGGGCTTCTTTCTACCATCATTCTGTGGTGCAGTGGGGACTGTCCCTTCTGGATGTGCATAAGCCTCGTGTGGGGTAGAACGGATTTGCCAGAGGAGAGAGAGATAGAGGCTCTGGACATCTCCAACTTAACCCCGGGTCCTGATGTCCTTACTGTAGCCGAACTTCTGCCGTCCCTCAGCCGCTTGTTCCTTGAGAGAACTTTAGTGAGCATCTACTCAAGGGATGAAACAAAAGATAAATGGGTTTGCGAATGGGTGTGGGGGAAATGCAACACACTGGCGCCCGAGAGCAAGAGCATTCTGGGTAGAGAGAGCAGCAAGCAGAGCCTCAGGCAGGCAGAAAGGTACTGGGGTGTGGTTGAGGAGATTGCTTAGGGGAAGGAGGTGGGAGAAGGAGCTGATGGGAAGGAGTGCAAAACCTGGACGCTCCTGGAGATTTCAGAGTGACTGGTAAGATCTGGCACGTGATGCTGGAATGTCACTGACCGCCATGTATGGGACTGATTGCCCAGTACTAGAGGAAAACAAGAACTCAGAGTGGAATCGGCTGTTGCAGTGAGGGTGGGCAACTTTGAACCCGGCAGGATAGAGAAGGGAAGGGGCAAGGAGACAGAGATTCGGGGGACCTCCCTTCACCCTCATTCCACATGGGAGACTCAAATACTGGTGTACCCTCTGGCTTCCCGGTGTCATGAGGTCGGTCCCCAGGGGAACATCCATTTCAAGGGGTGGGAAGCATAGTGGAGTGTGCCCTGTGCTCCACGCTAAGCTATCCAAAGCTCAGCAACTGTGAGATTCTGAGGAACACAGGCCAGCCCTGGGGAACCAGGAAAGGCTTCCTGGAGGACATGGCATCTAAGCCAAGCTCCACGGGGTGGGGAGGTATTTAGCCATGGGGAGGGGCAAAAGAAGGGAAGGCTCGGGTAATGTAAGGCACCTAGAGGTCCAAAGGAAATACATGTGTTCAGGACCCACAGCGAGAGGGCAAGTGGGGGACAAGCTGGCCCAGAGAGGGCGGGCTCCCCAGTGCCCAGGAGATGAAGGAAGGACAGGGGTTTTCATTTAGCTCTGAGTATGCTAATGTTAAGCAGGTGGGGACTGCTTTTGAACCAAAAGAACAAAATTTCCTGTGAACTAGCAGTCTACAGTGAAAGGAGAGTGCTGTGGGGCAGGGTTGGGCCCTGGGGGAGCCAGGAAGGAGAGTTGAAAGGTCCAAACTGGCCTCTGCTGCGTGTTTTAGCAAGATGAAGGCATAGCAGCCACTGGGTTGAGACTGACAGTCAAAGCAGCCAGTGAAGGCCTGCAAGTCTCTCCCACAGCCACCTTCAGAGTGGCGACTCGTGTTCTTTACTGAGCACCCACTGTGGGGACCTTCAAGTGTAGGGGTGAAGGGCACAGACCCAGGGGGCTAAGCCTGCCGCTTAGCTGTGTCCTCTTAGATGTGTGTATTAATCTCTCTGAGCCTCGGTTTTGGTTTGGTTCGGGTTTTGTCACTTGTTTGTTTGCTCCCTTCTATAAAATAAGAAGTAAGGAAATGGAACTGAGTCCTTGTGAGGACAGAAAGAGTTAGTGATTGTCAGGTTTGATTGTGGAGTTGTAACGCGCTGTGACACTTTCAGAGAATGTGTTTCATTTATCCTCAACAAAACTTGACACGGTTGTCATTTACCTCCGGAAGCAAGGTCAGAGAGCTGATGTGACCTGTATAAGGTCACACAGCAGGCACCTAGGGGAGCTGAGGGAGCTGCGGGGGGCGGGGAGGAGTTTGTGTCCTGTGGTCCATCCTTGTGAGTACGAGGTGTCCAGGCTGCAATCTCTTCGGCCCACTGTCTCATTGCTACTTCCCAGCACGGAGCTTGATGTGAGATGATATTCAGTATGGGAGTAACTGGATTCAGCCATTGTTAATTAATCAAATACACAGGCTGTCTGTCTCCTCAGCACACGGCTCATGTCAACTGGGACTCACCCCTGCTAAAGGCCCTGCCCTGGCTGCCTACACTGCAATGGGTCTGCGGCCTTGGGCAGCCATAGCCTTCAGTGAAAGTAGAGGGCTGGCAGCCTGCTGGGGTGGAGCTTCCTGTCAGTGCCCTGGCCAGCCCCGAACAATGACAAGGTCTGAGAATTCCAACCAAAAGAAAAAGGTCAACATGAAGGAGAGTGAGACATTCCATGTGGGCCCTAGGAACCCGGGATGGGGCCTGCCTGGGGCCTGGAGGGAAATGGAGTTCGAGGCCTGTCTTCCTCCAACCAGCCCTACTCTAGGGTCCCTTCACCTCGTGAGCATCCCTAATTTTAGCACTCCTAATTTTCTTCTACCAAGTTGACCTTTATAATAATTTTTTTAAATTACGTTTTATTTATTTGAAGGGAGGGTAGTGACGTCCAGGAGTCAGTACTCTTCTTCCACCATGTGGGTCCCAAGATCAAACTCAGGCAGGCCGTCAGGCATGACGGCCATGACCTTTACCCCTGAGCTATCTCAGTGGCCTCGGGTGGGCCTTAGGTAAACCCAAAGCCGATATAGCATCATACAGTGCCTTAAAAGTCTTGCTTTCCCTGAGCAATGACTCAGATTGGCTTCAAAGTCACAGTCCCTGGCCTCGGTCCTCAGCCTCTAAAGTTCTGGGCACCGCTACTCTCAGCTGCCTGGGTTGTGAAGCCCATGTGCTTCCTGCTCTTAGCTCGAGCCCAGAATCCTCGAGGGAGGACACGCGGGTGCTGCCAGCAGTGGAGGCGGCAGAGACCTCACCTTTCCTCTTTCCTCTTCACCCTAGGCAGAGCCATGAGCCACCAGATCCTGCTACTCCTGGCCATGCTCACCCTGGGCCTGGCTATCTCTCAGCATCGAGACCAAATGCCCTGTAGGACGGTAAGACACCACGCAGAGTAAGCGGTGCCTATCCCATCCTTGTTGGGGGGAGGGAGTCCCACAGCCCAGTGCAGGAGCAAAGGTTAGGAGACCCAGAAAAGGTTGGAGTTTTGCCTTGGTATTTGTTGAGCATACACTAGACTGTTCAAAAACCTGCTTACCCAACAGTCTTGTTCTCTTTTTATAGAAGGAAAACTGAGGTTTGGGGAGGCTAGGTGACCTAACCAAGATCATTGAGGTAGGGACGGTGGGACCCACTGTTTCTGTATTCCCCAAGCTTCCCTGTTATAGGCAATTGGTCTTCTGGGGGCTACTGGGGAAAAGGAGTTGGGAAGAGACAAGCTGGGAAGGGCTTGTCTGTACTGATCCTCCTGGGCACAGGTCCCCTCCCCGACTGGGCTCCTGGACTTGGTCCGCCTGCTGGAGTGCCCTTCACTCATTACAGCCACGACAAATGCCACCTTGCCCAGGAAGCCTCCCCATGACTATGCTGGCTGACTCCTTCAGTGACTCCCTCTTCTGGCTTCACGCCCTCCACCCATCTCCATGCTGAGCAGACATGGGGTGGCGGATGGCCCAAGGCTGTCTTACCTGGCAGACCAAGAGCTCTTTGGGGGCAGAGGGCAGGCTTGACTGACTTCCAAGTCAAGCAGATGCTAAAGACATTGTGACCCTGTGAGGTGCAGGGAAATGACTCTTTAGGTCAGTAATTCTCAAGCTGTGGGTCATGACCCCAAAGGGGTTGCACACCAGGTATCCTGCATGTCAGATATTTACATTACAATTCATAGCAGTAGGAAAATTACGGTTATGAAGCAGCAACAAAAATGCTGTTATTGTTGGGGTCGCCACAGCATTGGGAAGGTTGAGAAACACTGTTCTAGGACACTTGTAAAGCAGGGCTGGAGATAGGACAGACCACCACCAGCTGCACTTGGGTACAGAATGGACAGCTGCTTAAAGAGACCAGAAATGCCAACAGCCACCTGCCAGCAGCCCTTTCCTGGGGTCTGTGTGCCACCACTTCTTCAGGCCTTCTGAGAGTCTCACAACCCAGAATAATGGGAGGAAAGGCTTCAGACATCACCATATGCCCAGAGACTTGGAAGACTGAAGCCCTACGAGGTGAAGAACATTGGACCCAACAGACAGAGGGCATGGGGCAGGGACTCTCTGAGAAGCCTGAGATGGTAGACAGGAAAGAACTTTCTGAGCCATCATAGGAAATTCTGTACACACAGCAGCAGCGGCAGCAGCAGAGAAGACATGTGACCCTGAGGACCCCAAGGGTAGAAGGGACAGGGTCAAAATTCAAACCCAGCTCCCCCGTGCTGTTCATGGCAGTGCCTCTCCTTACACAGTTTCTTCCTGTGTGTAGATGGGAAGTGGAGTTGGGTGGGCATGTCCTTTCCCCCATCAGGGAGAAAGCAGAGCAGTGGCTGACACAGCAGAGTGAGGAGGGATGCTAAACCGTAGCCAAGGCCCATCACCTGTCATCTCTGAACCAGAGACTCCTGGCAGTCAATTGGAGCTTGGAGTTAAGGGGAGAGAGGGTACAGAGATTGAGATCAGGGAACCTCTTGTCCTTCATACTCCTCTGAAGTCTGGACTTGATTGGAAATGGGTACCAGGAGATGGGGGTACCAGGAGATGTGGGTACCCCTGAGCCCCTGCAGTACCTGACGGACAGTCTCTGGCCATCCTAACTTCTGTCATGGTTCCTGGAGAGCCTTTTCTCACCCAGAGGGGAGTGGACATGGGTGTGGGCTTGCATGGAAGAGTGTGGCATGTACGTTGCAAATGAAGGGTAAAAAGTGGCAGTGGTGTTTATCCAGTCAGCCTGGGTACCCGAGCCACTGAAGGCCCAGCTTACACAAAAAGAAACTCATGCTAGCATTGGGTTCATCTTGCTGCTGCTTATAGCAGGGTGGCCATGGGTGCTAGGTGGCAAGTAGGTATCTGATTTCTGTGGGTGGCAATGAGGGGTGTTGTAGGGTCTCCAAGAGACTCAATTGGCAGCTTTTCCTGGAGGTATAGAGCTCTTCAAGGTACTTTATGAAGTGGGCATCTACACAGGTGCCCATGGCCAGACAGTGCCCTGCCTTGTTCCTCAGCTTGGGGTCTTCAGGAGGAGTCTCAGAGTAGGCCAGGCAGGGATCACAGGCTTGTGTTTCCTCCTTGCTACCTCAGTCGCTGGATCCCTGTGGCCCAGGCAAGTCACTGCCAGGCAGGCCTTGACCTCAGCATGTGGATAGCAGGTGGGCTGGATACCTGTGCTCTGATAGCTCTCTGGCTCTAATCTGAATATCTGGATTATCTCCCCGCACTCCCCCCACACACACATTGATTGGACCAAGGCTCAGCCCTGTACTTAAGCACAGATGTCTGCAACTCATTTCCAGAACACTTTCCATGGGACAAGTCCAAGACACCCATGTCAATAAAAGTAGTCCCTCTCTGCTCCAAGCTCCCTGACTGCAGGTCTGTGTTCAGGGGCACCAGGCCATAGGGAGGAAGCACAGTTAGGGAGGGCCTTGCCGGAAGAGGTGTTGGGTTCCCTGCGAGGAAGTCTCACACAGATCTGATCCACACGTGTCCAAAGATGGGCCTGAAGCGTGTGGGAGCAGTGTCTAGGCATGACCACTGCATGCAAACAGGATTGAGATGAGTGGACAGGTTGGGCAGAGCCAGACAGTCTTGATGGATTCCACTCTGTGTTAAGGCCAAGGGCACCATAGGCAAAGTGGGTTTGGAACAGTCTCTGGGCATTTAGCAGGTAAGCAGTTCAGTAGGGGGCAGGGGGGAGTCAATGGAGACAGGTTGGGGGCAGGGGCAAAATTAAGCTGGCTGGTTGTAGAAGTTGCACTATTTGCTAGGGGGGGCTAGAGTGCCTAGGGTGAGAATCTGTGAATGACCAGATGGAAATGTGCATTTGCATATGACCCCTAAGGACACATTTTGTGGAAGGACAAGAGTTGCTGAAAGGCCCATGTTCAAACCCCAGCTCCCTCCATACTGTCTGGGTGATCCTGAAGACTCCCTCACCCTCTCCCATCTGGACTTTGATAAAAATATGTAATTACACCGGATCACCCCTATACTGGAGCTGTAGTTGATCTGACAGGGTCGCCAGTCTGAAAGTCCTGATATATAAAGTAGGTACCAGGAATGACAAGTTAATTTTGGGGTAAGGAACCAGAGTGTTGATGTGACTTAGTGGTCACTCAGTTAAATTGCCATCAGATACTACTGTCTGGGTCCTGGTATTCCTTTCCTCTGCTCAGTCTCCTTACTCCTAATACCTTTAGGGTACCATGCTGGACTAGGCCACCAGAAGTGGGGTCATTGATGTGGGGGTAGGTATCAGGGCCCCATGCTGAACCAGGTCACCAGAAGTTGCTGCTGATGTGGGGGTAGGAAGCAGCTGTGGGAAGGATTGTGTCCAGAGCCCACCCCACGTCATAGAGGAATGAGATCTGAGGCTGGGTGGATCAAATCAAAGAGGTTAGGAGAACAATCTGCCAGTTTCCCTGTTGCAAGCATCTTTTCTCGATGAAGCTCCCAGCCTAATGCTGTGACTTTATCTGGGATGTCTCAAGGACCCAGAAATGGACCTCGAAGCTTTGGCCATGTTGCTCCTTGGCTCTGGGTCACTCTAAGTGAAGCATGGCTTCATTTCCCATATAACAGGACAATAATCAGTACATATTTATTTTTAGAGCTGTCTACTGTTTTTCTGTCTACTGCCTCCCTCCTGTCCAGCACCCACCAGATTGCCAGAGGCAGAGCTAGAGAGAAGCCTGGGGTCATCAGCTCAGTGTAGGAAAAGCTCTAGCGTCCTGGGAGTCTGTGGGGAAGCCCCCTGTCATAGGGTTGCGGTTGCTGTGAAGAGACACTATGACCTCGGCAACTCTTATAAGGGAAAACATTTAATTGGGGTGGCTTGCTTACCGTTCAGAGGTTTAGTCCATTATCATCATGGCAGGAAGCAATGCAGCATGCAGGCATATGTGGTGCTGGAGAAGGAGCTGGAAGTTTTTAGATCTTAACTCAAAGGCAACAGGAAGTGGTCTGAGACATTGGGCATGGCTTGAGCACATGAGACCTCAAAGCCCGCTTTCACAGTGACACACGTCCTCCAACAAGGCCACACACCCTAAGTGCCAATCCTTATACACTTATGGGGGCTTATTACATTCAAACTACCACATCCCCCATCTCTCTTTCCTAGAGAACCCTGTCCTGTTCTACTGACCTGCCCCTACTAATGCCAGCTTCTCGCCATCCTTGCTCTCCCTAGGTGAACAAGGAAGCCTTGTGCCAGGGCCTTGGCCTTCTTCAGGTCCCCTCAGTGCTCTCATTGGACATCCGGGCTCTCTACTTGTCTGGGAACAGGCTGCAGAGCATCCTGGCCTCTCCCTTGCGTTTCTACGCAGCGCTTCGTCACCTGGACTTAAGTGTCAACGAGATCAGCTTCCTCCAGCCGGGAGTCTTCCAGGCCCTGCCCCACCTGGAACACCTCAACCTAGCCCACAACCGGCTGGCCATGGGCATGGCACTGAGCAGTGGTGGTCTGGGCCGCCTGCCCCTTATAACCTCCCTGGACCTGTCTGGGAACAGCCTGTATGGTAGCCTCGTGGAGCAGCTATTGGGTGAGGCACCGAGCCTGCAAACCCTTTCACTGGCGGAGAACAGCCTCACTCGCCTGGCACGCCACACCTTCTGGGGCATGCCAGCCCTGGAGCAGCTGGACCTCCACAGCAACATACTGATGGACATTGAGGACGGTGCCTTCGAGGCCCTGCCCCACCTGACCCACCTCAATCTCTCCAGGAACTCCCTTACCTGCATCTCGGACTTCAGCCTCCAGCAGCTGCAGGTACTTGACCTGAGCTGCAACAGCATTGAGGCCTTCCAGACAGCCCCGGAACCCCAGTCCCACTTCCAGCTGGCCTGGCTCGACCTAAGGGAGAACAAGCTGCTCCAACTCCCGGACCTGGCTGCATTCCCAAGACTCATCTACCTGAATGTATCCAACAACCTCATTCAGCTCCCTGCAGGGCTGCCCCAGAACAGTGAGGACCTCCATGCACCCTCTGAGGGCTGGTCATCCTCTCTACTGTCCAACCCCAGCTGGAATGCCAGCATCTATCCCCTCTCCCAGCTCCTGAACCTTGATTTGAGTTACAATGAGATTGAGCTGGTCCCTGCCAGCTTTCTGGAACATCTGACCTCCCTGCGCTTCCTCAACCTCAGCAGAAACTGCCTGAGGTCCTTTGAGGCCCAGCGTGTGGGCTCCCTGCCCTGCCTGGTGCTTTTGGACTTGAGCCACAATGTATTAGAAGCATTGCAACTGGGCACCAAAGTTCTGGGGTCCCTGAAAACATTGCTTCTGCAGGACAATTCCCTGCAAGAACTGCCACCATACACCTTTGCCAGCCTGGCCAGCCTGCAGAGCCTCAACCTACAGGAAAACCAGGTCAGTCCCTGTGGGGGACGAGCAGAGCCAGGTCCCCCAGGCTGTGTGGACTTGTCTGGGATCCCCACCCTTCATGTTCTGAACATGGCAGGGAACTCGATGGAGATGCTCAGGGCAGGCAGCTTTCTCCACACCCCACTTATGGAGCTGGACCTCTCTGACAATCCTGGTTTGGATGTGGCCGGGGGAGCCTTGGCGGGCCTCGAGGCATCCTTGGAGGTACTGAAACTTCAAGGCAATGGATTGGCTGTCTTGAAGGTGGACTTGCCATGCTTCCGCCGTCTCAAGCTCCTTAACCTTTCCAAGAACCACCTCAGCCACCTGCCTGCCTGGACACAGGCTGTGTCCCTGGAGGTGCTGGATCTGCGGAACAACAGCTTCAGCCTCTTGCCAGGCAGTGCCATGGGTGGCCTGGAGACTAGCCTCCGGCGCCTGTACTTGCAGGGCAATCCACTCAGCTGCTGCGGCAATGGCTGGCTGGCGGCTCAGTTACACCAGGGCCTAGTGGACATGGATGCTACTCAGGACCTAGTCTGCCGCTTCGGCTCCCAGGAGGAGGTGTCCCTGAGCCAAGTGCGTCCAGAGGATTGTGAGAAGGGAGGGCTCAAGAGCATCAACCTCATCCTCATCCTCACCTTCACACTGGCCTCCGCCATCATCCTCACCACGCTGGCCACCTGCTGCTTCCTCCGCAGGCAGAAGTTCAGCCAACAGTACAAAGCCTAGGTACCCTCTTCCCACTCAGTGTGGAAGCCAGAGGGGCAGAGAAGCTGGGGTCTGACTCAGGTTACACAGTGACCAGGGACTCAGCATCCTGCATCCTACCACATGGACAGGTAGTTGCTTCCTAGGCTGCATATGTAGTCCAGCTGTGGAGCCCAAGGTGGGGCGGCTTACAGAGGATACCAACAGATCTCCACTGAGTGTCCCTTTCAGGCAATACCCTTTTATGGGCACTAGTGAATGAAGCACATGCCTATCCTCCAAGACAGTGACCATGTAGTGTGATGGGACTGAGGGGGGGGCCTGGGCCCCCGGGACCTGCAGTCCCCAGCTGGTCATGGACAGTCCACCCTAGCTGGCTGTGTTTGTGCAAGAGAAGGCCAAGCCCAAGAGATGATTTGTCTAAGCTGTTTCCACACAGCTCTGTAACATCTGCTGATAATGACTCTCAGCCTCTCTGGAAATGAAGAACTTGTGACCGGAAGAGAGAGCTAGAACCTCCCCCAAAGGCTTTGAGTCTCTGGGCTCTTAGGCCAGATTCTCAAGTTCCAGCTGGACCAGCTTAAAGTGTGATCACCTGGACTTCCAACCAGGCCCAGGGCGGCCCTCCACCCCAGTGTACTCTCCTGTTACACACACTGACACCAGTGCTGCCTGGATTCCCAGCCCCCTGCTCGGGCCTCCTTCCATCCCAGCCCCGCCCTGGCTTTTGAGCCAAGAGGGAGAGCCTAGGCTATCTGGTTCTGTTTTGCACTCAGCAGCTGCAGAGGCAAATCCAAGCCAACTCTCAGAGGTTTCTATGTTATCTGCATTACACACAAGAAGAAAACAAGGTTCCTTACGTCTCCTTTGAGAGCCTGGTGGCTGAGAGAGACGCCAAAGCCAAAGACGAATCAAACCCATGTCCTCCGATGCCCACGACCTAAGCCTTGCCAGAGGGTGCAGTGCCTGCAGGCTGTCAAGTGGACAGGAAGTGGCCCTACCCTAACCAGGACCCAAGCATCCTTGCTGCACTCTCTCCTCTCAGGCATCCACAGATCCTCTGCTTCTCCTCCGCAGTCCCGCCCCCGCCCCCACCCCCCGCCCCGTTCATTTGCAGACCAGTGTGAACTCTCCCTTTCTCATCTTGCTCCCACAATCTCATTCTTCCCCCATTAAGCAAGCATAGCTTGGAGTTTGACTCTATTGAGTGTAAACTCTCCATTGAACAGATAAGGAAAACAAAGTTTAGTGCTTGCTCAGAGTCACACAAGCCAATGGCAGAAACTGCAGGAGAAAGGCAGCTGGACTGTTGCACTGTAGGAGAGCGTTTGCTTTGCATGCTCAAGACCCTGAGCTAAGTGCCCAGCAGAGCTAAGCGCCCAGAAGAACTAAGTGCCCAGCAGAGCTAAGCGCCCAGAAGAACTAAGTGCCCAGCAGAGCTAAGCGCCCAGAAGAACTAAGTGCCCAGCAGCAGCATCTGTGTGGTTTCTTAGCCTCGGCAGTCACAGCACAAGACAGTACCCGCTAGCGTGCCTATCGTCACCAGGCATGGGAAATAATAAGGAAGACCTCCTCAGACTCTCCATTCTCTAGACCCATGGGTACGGGAAGAAAAGGGAGCCCTGGGCCCAAACATAGAACCTGCTCCATCAGCTTCCCTCTGCCTGACCCACAGTCTGCCATGGCACTCAGTAATGTACAAGAAAACTAAAACACCATTCTCTCTGGCCCATTTTACAGATGAGGAATCTGGAGTCCAGAGAAAGTTAAAGGCTCAGAGAACCAATGGGCAAATCCGGGGCTAGAACCCTCACCAGAGCAGCTAGTAGGGTCTAGGTGCTACTGCACACAGCACTCTTTCTCGGCCTGGAGGCCAAGACGTGGCCCCTGTGCCTGAGCTCTGAAAACACTATATCAAGCTGCTGTCACCTCCCATGACTGGCCACTGCCAGGCCCTGGGACCAGCTCTTTGTATAACTCACATGAATGTATTAAAGTATAATTTTGGAGAAATTGTGGTCTGCCAGCCTGCTTACTTTGGGTACCCTTCCTCAGCTGAGGTCTTCCAAGCCATTCTTACAAGATCTACATACTTTTAGATCTCATGTCTTTGTCCCTGGGCACCACAGCCCCTCACCTAAACCCTCAGCCCAAACTAGTCCCATCCACCAAGCTATCTCCTCTCTCTCAAGCTCATTGGTTCCCAGCTCCTCTTTCTCCAGCCACCTCCAAATGAACTCCCATCTGTCCCTCCCAACAGCTCCCATGGAGGCATCCAGAGGCATCCCCTAGCCACAGGGTTCCGTGTCTCCTAGGGGCTAGAGAATTCAAGGCGAATTTAGTCAGCAAGCAGATTCAGATTGAACTTGGAAGACACACACACACACACACACACACACACACACACAGAGACAGAGACAGAGACAGAGAGACAGAGAGAGAGTACTGAGGAAGGGAGGCGCTGCAGCACTGAGGGCAGTTATGAGGAGGTTATCGAGAGAGATTAAAGTGGGAAGCAGGATCAGCATCTGCAGGGTACACAGCAATGTCCACCTTTGTCTTCTACTGACTTGCAGCACTTTGGCTGGTCTCTTGTGGCCCGGCTCAGAACACCAACACTGAGGCACTGGCCTTTGCGGGTACTGGTCTTCCTCTCCAGCCTACTTCTCTTCCAGCCCAGCCTTTCCTCGACCTCCAAGCATTCTAGAAGCATCCCCACAGCTCAAGTGGCTGCTGGGCCTTCCATGGATGGACAGTCTTGCCTGCTCCTAAAGATTCCTTCAAATAAGTTCTCTGCCTCCAGCCTCTCCCCCACATCCCTGCTTCCTACTCTCACACTCCTGAGGAAACACTGAACTTGCTATTTCATGGGGCAGTCCTGGGCTCGGGAAGGCACACAGTAGGGGCTCAGTGAAGGCAGACTTGGACCAGGCCATTGCATAGGCTGGGCTCAGTCCAGGACCTGTGGGCCTCCCCTCCAACAGGCCCCACCAGGCCCCTGACCCCTTTTCCTGGCAAACAGGGGAGCCTATTCACCTGACCGAGACCCCCAGAGGGGCAGAAATTCCTGTTTTCAGTGAAACATGAACACAGCTGCCAACTAGGTCATCAGAACATCCGGTTTACTGAGCTTTCAGCAGTTCTAGGGGAGGGGGGCCCTCATGTGCCGTGTCGCAGGCCACCTGGAGTGTCAACCTCAAGTCATCCAGTTCAGTAGGCTCTTATGGTGCCCCACTCCTTAGGAAACCCCATCTCACTCCTGCCCCGACACACATACAGCTGCCTCACCATCTCAGTCCACCAGATCCAGAGGCCTGGCCAGCTGCCCACTGCAAACACCCCTGTCCTCCAGATACCCTGCACACCCCCGAGAGGCAGTGAGTGATCTGCTGCCCTATGTCAGCCCTCTCTGCTGTCACCCACCATCTGATGACCATTACTAAGTGCATCCAGCTAAGTCCAAACCGAGCAGTCGATGGACCTTATTCCCAGTGTCTGGAGAGATTTCTATTGCATCTTGAGATTCTAGGGGTGAAACCTAAACCCAGGTTCATCCCTCTCTGAAGCCAGTGATATTTTTCCTTTCTTTTGTTGTTGTTTGTCTCCTTTTTGTTATGTTTTACTTACTTGCATCTGCATCCATGTGTATGGAGGTGAGAGTACAACTTGTGGGAATCAGTTCTCTCCCTCTCCCACTGTAAGTATCGAGGTTCGAACTCAGATTGTCGGGCTTGGCAGCAAATGTTTTTATCCACTGAGCCATCTCACCTGTTTCTTGTTCTTTGTGTTTTGAGTCCTGTGTCCTGTGGGCCAGGTTGGCCTTGATTTACTATGAGGCTAAGAATGACCTTAAGCCCCTCGTCATCCTGCCTCCTCTTCCCATGCACTGGGATGACAGGTGTGTTCCACCGTGCCCAGCCAGGAGCTGATGATCTGAACTACTGGCGGCCCTTAGCATCTGCCCCTCACAGCTCCAGGATCGCCCCTCCCTCACCAGGCATGTTCCACCCACCCTGACCCACCCACAAACTCCTGCTACCATTGTCTGACTGGATCACCTCCTCTGAGGAGATGGCCTGGATTGCTTCCTCCTACTGCCTGTATTCCCGTGGAACTCTCAGGCATTGAGTATATGACTGGTCCACCATCAGATCAAGAGTCCTGGGAAAAAATTCCTACCCAGAGTCCCCTGTGTGTTCCCTGGGACTGTGAGCTCAGAAAAGATTTCCCAAATTAATGGACCCTGCCCTCTATGACTTATGAACTCTTGAGCTTAAAACCAGCCTTCCAGACAGACCCAGGGGATCCAGAGAGGCAGAGCGCAGCGAGACATGCACTGTCCAGGGGCAGCAACAGCACATAAGCGTGCTCTCTGGCTGGCTTCTGCTGTCCTCAGTCTCCCCTCGCCTTGGGAATTCTGTCTTATCTTTGTCCTCCCGTTCTGTCTTCTCATCCTACCTCTCCACCCCACCACTTCTGTCTCCCTAGAAACAGTTGTGCTGAGAACAGGAGGGCTAGAGGGAAGGAGGGAGGCTGAACTGTTTATAGGAGCTGGAGAGGCTCCATCCATCAGCTCTGTTTGGAGAACAGACCAAGCATAATAAACAGATCGGCTCCTCCGCAGCTGCGCTTTCCCTGAACTTGGCCCTCCCAACTCTAAGTCTCTCTAGCCAGCCGGTTCTCAGGACCCAGCTCCCACCCCACTCCACTCAACTCCCACCTCCAGCCTCCCCTTGGACTGGCCTGGAGAGAGCTCTGTCTGTGAAACTCAGATCTGGGGCCACTCTTGTTCTTACGGCCACCTTTGCTCTGGAAGTGAGGGAAAATCACACTGTTGTGTCTTAATTTCTCCATCTATATAATGGGCTCATAAACACGCTAATTTGTAACACCTGAGTGCTTGAGCATCCCCCAGGTTCTGAGTGCTGGGTCTGTGGGAAACCTGGTGACAGTTAGATAAAACCTCAGCTCTGGGAGGAGAGAAGACTCAGGCTGTAGCTCAGGCCAGGAAGCTGTCAGTGGTGAGGGGGTTTCGTGCTCTGAGAGTTTGTTTGAAGCTGGTCACAGGCCTCACAGCTGGAGAAATGAATGGGCTTGGAAGGCATCTGAGCGGCCTGTGGGGATGCAGGATTTCATCATGAAGCAGAGAGGTGGAAGGGAGAGCCGTGGTCCAGCTCAACCTAGCTGCAGGAGAGCCAGAGCACTTCAGCAGTTCATCCCTGAGCTCCCAGGTCCTACAGCATCACCTGGAATTCTGGAATCTTCTCAGCAACAGAGCTTCTAACTAGCCCAGCTCCACTTTTCCAAGTTGGGGATGCCTTCCCCGGATTCCATCATGAGTCCATCCCTCCTCCCCTAAAGCCCCTTACAAAGTAGAAAACTACCAGCAGCATGTGCTTTCAAAAAGAATTAGAGAACAAATGAAGGATTAAATTAAATAAAAGTATGAATCAAAGAAAAGGAGACCAAGTGAGCAAAGGAATCTCTGAAAGCAGCTGGCATGTCTGTAGCCATGAGGATTCCCTAGGCCCTGCCCATTAAATAAATGAATAATCTCTCTCTCTCATAAACATATTAAAAACAATGACAAATAGTGATGAGAGCTTTGACAGGAGAGTCAGGGAGAAAGCTGGGATAGGGTGGGACTCAGGGGAACCCTCTCTGAGGACCTGAAATGGAGGAGGTTAGGAAAAGAGAGACCCTGAAAGATCCCCCTCCCGCTGACACTGAGGCCAGGGGCTCTGCTCTGAAGGCAGTGGCCTCTGAGACTCTCCCTTCCCTGCCCAGAGTTCTTCGGTTCCATTTCTGGAATTGTGAAGAAAACCAGTGGTGATAAGGAGAGGGGTGGAGTGTGTGTTCTGGGATCCAACCATAGTGGGGGCAGGGGTGAGGGTCCAATCTCAAAGGCTCCCCATTTGTCATAGGTAATACTATTCTTACTATTTCGCCAGAGAATGGATTTGGTCTCTGGTCTCTCCACATTTTTCATGTCTGCCTGTCCCACCAGCTTCCCAACCACATTAACATTCTTCTAGCAAGCCCTTTGCATGTTCCCCAGGATCAAGTCATTGTTGACAAAAATAAACTGTGTGCAAATACATAAATGCGTGTATTAGAGGGATTTTTATCACTGCTTTGTCAAAAAATAGATTGTAGTCTATATAGTCTCCTGTAACTTAAAAACAATTCAACCATATTTGAAAGAAACCCCCTCTAACAAACTGATATAGCTCTGTTCAGTTTTTTTTTTGAGTTCATGGTATTCCAGTGTTTAATATTTTTTATTTATTTAGCTATTCATTATTGATGGACATTTTCTCTCTTTACATTTTTTGAAAATTTCATACATAGGCGCTGTGTTTACATGATTTCTGCCCCCTCTCTCTGCCTCCAACTTTCCCCATCTCCCCCAACTCCCTCTCAAATTCATGACCTCTTTTCTGTGATTACTATTGCTACATGGATATGTATGTGTGTTATAAATATACATACACATAAATATACATAGGCATAAATGTAACCTTCTGAGCTCATTTAGTGTTGCTCATATGTATATTCATTTATGGCTGACCACTTGGGATTGGATAGCATATCTGGGGTCTCGTCCCTGGAGAAGAGTGATTCTCCCTCTCTTAGCAGTCATTACCTGATTGTAGCTCCTCGTTTAGGGATGGCGCCTTGAAGGATTTCCCACATGCACATTGGAATGTCAGCTGGTGCTGTCACTGTGCAGGTCTTGTTTAGGTGGCCATATTGTGAGGATGTCATGGGTATACTTAGCTAGTAGGGTCAATCAATACTATGGTCATGAAGGTGGTTTTCTCAGGATGAGTCTTCTCTATTGTATTTTAGATATCCTGACTCCTGCAATTTCCCCAAATGTGGGAAACTTGACTGTAACATTTGTGGTAGTGAAGAGAACTAGTTCCAGGTTCTCCTCTGATAAGGAAGAAGAAGAAGGAGGAGAAGAGAAAGAGTATTCATGCCTGCATCTCCTATCATACATAGAAAGTACTGTCTCACCACAAACACCCTGGTCCTCTGACTCTTGCAATCTTTCTGCCCCCTCTTCCTGAATGCTCCCTGAGATGTAGATGTAGGGGTTATGCTGTAGATGCTATCAGTTGGGATGGGCCAAGGACCTCAGGCTCTCTTTGACTCTGGAAGCTTATCAGACATGCCCCAATGTGTGCTTCTTAATTCAAACAAATTGCCAGTCAAAAATTGCCATCCGCACAGGTAGACAGATAAAGACATAGGATGATAAACGAAAAATAACTAATGTATTCTGAATCCCTGTTACACGTGTGGGTGTTTGCCTGCATGTATGTCTGTGTGCCCCATATGTGCCTGGTGCCTAAGGAAGCCAGAAGAGTCAGATCCTCTGGAGCTGGAGTTAGTCAGTGTTGAGCCACTGAACCTGGGTCCTCCGGAAGAGTAACCTGTGCTCTTAACTGCGGAGCCTTCTCTCCAACTCCTGATTTAGAACTTTTAATACACCTTACCTTTCAAAAGGCGTCGTGTTTCTGGTTCCCATGGTGTATGGTGGTCCTATAACCAGCTCCTGATGATCTGTTTTGGTTTGTTTTGATCCCTGCAAGGCAAGTCCTCTCATCAGCATTTTCTTAACTCTGACATATCTGTGGGCATCCCTTCCTCCATAGCCACCTCAGAGTGGCTGCCCTCTCTTAGGAATGACTTTTGGAGTGAAAATATGTTGCGGTCTATTCTTCCACTTACCTTTCTTTTGTTGTTTTGTTTGCATGTTTTGAGACAGGGTCTCATGTAGCCCAGGCTGGCCTTGAACTCTCTTTATAGCTGAGGATAGTATTAAACCTCTAGTCCATCCACCTCTAACTTCTTATGCTGTGGAATTCAGATGTTGCTACTACACCTGGGCCACACAGCCTTCTTTGAGTAGATTCTCCCTTGCTCAGTTCTCTCCTCAGTATTTCATTTTTTTCAATGTTATAAGTGAATTTATAACCATTTATAAAATTTAAAGCATTATCAATGTCAATTTCTATGTTTATTGTCAAAATCACAAAGCTACTGAGTTTCACACTTATATTCAAGAATTTTTTTGAGTTGTACTGTCTGGCGGTGAGGCCTGGGGTCCTCATGTGTGTCTCCCCAGCACTGAGATTGCAGGCATGTGTGTGTGTGTGTGTGTGTATGTGTGTGTGTGTGTGTGTGTGTGTGTGTGTGTAGTGTGTGTGGTTTGGGGACATAAACTTGGGTCTCCATACTGGTTTAGCAAGCACTGTACTGCCTGATTTTTCTCAAGGCACTGGGCTCATAGAATGTATGGCAGGAGCTATAAATTGTACCTCCTACCCAGGCTGTGAGTCCCTCAGGGGCAGGAGTCAGTCTGTCTTCTCCAGTCCCCAGCACCTGGCACAGAGCATGGCTCTGGCGTGGGCTTCAGAAGGATCCCTTTCTTTCCAAGCCATGCACAAGTATTAAAGAAATGTGAGCCCACCAGTCAGTAAAGCACTCTGACATGACAGTGCCCTGTCCCTTTGGCAGTCTATGGACAGGCCCCTTTGCAGAATAAGATTTTTGACTCATAAAAGAGATACAAGATTTTACAGGAAACCATTTCTGCTGAATGCAGTTGCCCAAAACGGGTTTTTTAATCACACTGTGATTTCATGAGTTCTCATTAGCATATCACAAAATATGGCAGGTGTACTAATGTGCTTTTGAGGCACCGAAGAATGAAAGATGTTTGGAGAGACCAACAGCAGCTCTGGCAAGGCACAGAAAAGCCTGGTTTCTGCCTGTGGCAGGAGCTGGTGACACTGTGAGGAATTGTGCCCCACATCCAAGGAGGGAGAACAGTTACATGCCAAGGAGAGGCTCACGGCGGGAGGAAAGGTGTAGCCAAGTTCACACACGGTAAAACTTCTACCCTTGACAAGCATGGGCCTCTCAGATCGCAGTCCTCCCTTTAGATGTGTGAAAAACAGCAACCACAGCACTCGGAGCCACAGTCACAGGGAAATGCAAGCCCATTGCCACCACACAGCCACAGGGAAATGCAATCCCATTGCCACCACACAGTCACAGGGAAATGCACAGTCACAGGGAAATGCAAGCCCATTGCCACCACACAGCCACAGGGAAATGCAAGCCCATTGCCACCACACAGTCACAGGGAAATGCAAGCCCATTGCAACCACACAGCCCTCATTTGGTGCTAGGATGTGTACTGGAGGCCCCTTTGGTGATATGTTCAAGAATCTTAACAATGTATGTCTGCTTTGGTGACCCAGCAATTCCATCTCTAGGAATCTGTCCTAAGGAAATAAAAAAGCAGCCAAAAAAAAAGTGTGAGAATGTTTATAATAGCCAATGAAAACATCCAGGTTTTGTGGAGCCTGGCGTTTATATAATTTAGGAGGGCCCCTTTAACACAAAGAATGCAAAATAAGAGTATAAAACTTCTAGATCCCTTTTGGGCCTTTGGAAAGGCCCTGGGCAAATGAGAGGGCTTTGATCAGTTTCACGTAAGTTCAACACAAACATTACACTATCGGCTATTGTTTAAAAGCACAAAGAGCCGGCAGCTGGGAGTTGACATAATAAGCTATGGAAGGTTCGTGTATATAAGAGAAATCTGCCAGCTGCCCAACATGATGTGAATACAAGTCTGTGGAGATGGGAAAATGATCAAAACATGGTGTCTTACTTTCCGTGCTGCTGGGACAGCTACCTGGCACGGCCACTCCAGGAAGGGAGAATTTGTTTCTGCTCACAGTTTGAAGGCAGAATCTATCATGGGATCCTTGTCTTGTGGCTGTCTCTACATGTAAATTCTCAGCTACTGCTCCAGCACCATGCCTGCCCGCCTGCCGCTATGCTTCCTACCATGATGGTCATAAACTCTGACCCTCTGAAACTGTCAGCCCTAAATAAGCAGCCTTGGTTTTAGTGTTTTATCACAGCAATAGAAAAGTAACTAAGACACGTTATGAGCAAAGACAGGTTATGAGTTGCAGAATATTAAGTGGGGCTTTTTATGTATGTTATGGTTTGAATTTGAAGTGTCCTCCACAGGTTCATTTTTGAATCCTGAGTCTCCAGTTGGTAACACTGTTTGGAGAGGCTCTGGCAGCTTTGGGAGGTCGGGCCCTGCTGGAAGGAGATCATAAGGGTTGGTCCTTGGGACTGTGTGATCTAGGCCCACATCTAGTTTTGCCCTCTGCTTTCTAGGCTGCTATGATGGAAGCAGCCTCCACCACACACTCACCACCACGAACTGATTCCCCTGCCTTCCCTGCCATGTTTGACTGAAACCATGACCAAAATAAGTCCTTTCCCCCATAAATTGCTTCTGTAGGCATTTTGTCACAGCTTTGCAAAGGAAGCATAGATTTTTTCTTGGGGTCGTGGTTATGCAGTTCCACGAAAGCAATTCCACAGTCCAGCAGTGCACTGCAGCCAGTGACACCATTATTCTAACACCCACTACCAGCCCCAAGCAGGCCTGGGCCAGAGAGCAAGCCAAGCAAGTGTCTGACTTTCTGGAGGAGAGTCATATCTGGGCCACAGTTCATCCTTACAAGCTCAGGTTAAGAAATTGACTGCTAAGTGGCAATGGTGCATGCCTTTATTTTATTTTAGGTTTCTCGAAACAGAGTTTCTCTCTATTGTTTTGGAGGCTGTCCTGGAACTTGCTCTGTAGACCAGGCAGGCCTCAAACTCACAGAGATCTGCCTGCCTCTGCCTCCCCAGTTAATTTAATCCCAGCACTTGGGAGGTAGAGAAGGGAGAATCTCTTGAGTTCAAGGTCAGCCTGGTCTACAGAGTGAGCTCCAGGACAGCCAGAGCACAAAGAGAATCCCTGTCTTGAAAAGCAAAAACAACGAAAAAGGGGGAGAGGAGGAAGGGAGGGAGGGGAGGAGGGAAGGAGGAGAGGAGGAAGAGAGAGGAAAGAAATGCGCCCTCAGAACTCAGAAGACACAGAGTTCATTCAGCCTGTCTCCTCCCTGGGAAAGCCCACAACGGGAAGGCAGGTGGGAGTGTCCACTGGTGGCAGCATTCACAGTGGAGGCTGCTGCGGGTGTGGCCTGCTCATCTTTGGATCCTGACAGCTAGAGTGTTCCCTATGTGTGACCACACAGGGCATGAGTCCAGCTGAAGGATCGCTGCCCTGTCAGAGAGGGGCCCCCTCAGAGGGCTCCTCAGCAGGAGTGGAGGGCAGGCACAAGTGTCAGCCAGGTGCTAGGGGGACCAACTGTAGCAGATCCAGGAAGGAAGACGTCTGTCTCTTGAGAGCGGACCAGAGCTGGGGGTGTGCACCACCCAGAGGGTCTCACTGCAGTTCACGGTGACCCTTTTTGTACTTACCCTCCCAGATCCCTATCCTGAGACCTGTGCAAGAATGCAGGACAGATAGGGGAGAGACAAGCAGGGTGAGTCCTGTCCTCTCAGATGCCTCCGTGATAGGCTGTGAGACACAGTGGGACAAAAGTCCAGGAGTGACAGACGCCAGCTCATTTGTTCGGCGGCAGAATGATTTACAGATGGTAAGCTTTACTCTTCATACTACAGCAGTTCTGGCATTTCCATTTGTTCCCTTGTCTGTGATCCCGACTCCTGGAAGTAGGGTTGTGGGCATGCACCACCACGCCTGGTGAGTTGTTAGCTTATAAACGGCTAAGAGCTGTTTATGTGTTTTTGGGTCATGGTCCTTTGTTAGAAATGGCTCTTGTAAACATTTTCTTCCAGAGATCTGGATTTGGGTTGTCCTGGAATATTTTTAACCTTTTTAATTTTAATTTATTTAGTTGTAAAGTGTAAGTCATTATCTTGACTAGACATAGTTTTGTTCTTATAAGCCAGTTTTAAAAAATATTATCACACATAGATCAGTATTACCTTAGTCATCAAATATACTTCTTCCTTGACTTTTGAAAGAATTTCAAGCTTGT